GGATGAGGAAGATGGCATCAGCTGGGTTGCGTTATTTCGAGGAATGTCCCATCCCTGGAGGGGTTCAAGGCCAGGCTGGATGAGGCTTTGAACAACCTGGTGTAGTGGGAGGTGTCCCTGCCCATGGCAGGGTGGTTGGAACTCAATGATCTCTAAGGTCCCTTCCAACCCAAACCGTTCTGTGATTCTGTGTAATATAAAACCACATTAATTCTGTCCTATGATCCCCACAGCACAATAAGCTCCTACAACATCTGCTTTAGTACTTCTATCCATCGGAGGGAGAATCCAATTTGCACCTTTAACAATTTAGTTGAAACATCTTTTCTTCCTCACAGAACTTTAACCCGGCCTTTTTGTAAAAATTTGCAGTATTTCCCCATCTTCATTCTTTCTAAGGCTTTGGAGCCCTGATGCCCCTCTTTCAGATGCTAGTGCCCGCTCCTTGAAAAGAATAATGAACTTCAACAGAACTGACTCTCAAGTACGTCTGTGAACCTAAGGAAAACTCTGTCCCATAGAGCAGGGTGGAGGAACCAGCGTCCTGGTTCCTAGAGAAAATTCGTGTGACAGAAATTAGTAGGAACCCACGGTACAGCTGATTACATTTCAGGGTTCTAAATAAATTATTGCATTTGAACTCATCTATTGCCTTAGCTGCCTCATATTCCTCTGCCTCACCACCATAAGATCAAAGCATTTCAAATTCAGCACTGATGTAACCTGTTAGCAGGTCATCATGCCTTTAACTCAGACACAGACCTTCTCCTTTGTCATCCTCCTCAACGGTAGTGAGTTTTTAGCTTTGCTTAAGGGATGGCACTTAACTTCTTCAGTTGAATGACTTCTGTCCTCTGTAGACCCCAAAACACACACAGAGGACCGTGCCATCCATTTTGCTTTATCACAAAACCCGATAACAATATTCCTGCCTCTGCCAACAAGCCAGTGTCTTTTCCTAACGCTACTCCTACAGCAGCACCAATTGGAGCCCAATCTGCCCAGGGAGGATTCACGTGCACAAAGGACACCATGAATCATGGGATGATCTCGGTGACACCGCCAATGATAAACTCTCCATTTGTCAGCTGAGAATGAACAAACAAACAAAGCAGCCTGTCCCCATCCCAAAAAGCCACTACTAACATCTAAAACCAAGCTAGCAAAATAAAAACCATTCACACAACCTCGCGTCATATCCACATCTTCAGCTGGTGTGGTAAAGTAATGAACCAGTGTGTTACCCTCAGTGTTGCTGACACAAGGGGCCACGTTCTTCTGGAAGAAAACACAGATGCTCTTGGGACTAGTGACAGCTCTCTGACCTCGTGAGGATGGGTTGAGATGTGCGAGCACAGCAGCAGGACAGTAAGGACGATTAATGTGACTGAGCTGGCTGTTAAAGGTGCAGACCTCTCTTCTAAGCTCCCTTCTGACCCATTTGACAGGCACGGCCATAACAGTGTCTGCACACAAACTCCCCTGTCCACAGGAAATGGGGAACAGCTACACCTGAGCTCTGGCACTGCCAGGGCAATTTTAAATATGTATTAATGGTGTTCACCTGCAGGCTTTCTAAAGTGTCATTTGAGAACTGGAAACACTGTAAAAATAATGAGAATTACTGCAAAGCACCCATAGAGAACTATATTCCACAAGAGTTACCATAATTAGTTTTATTAGTGAATGTTAAAGAACACAGCTTGATATCGTTATTAAGTCTTTTGTGGTGACAGCATTGTGAGATGAATGGAAAAACAGATGTCTCTGTTTTATATAAGCCTCCAGACTAATGCTTATAACAGGCTACAGCTAATGCCTCGTGGATAATCTTTCTCATGCCTTTCAAGCAATCGCTAAACAAGGGGAAAACCCCACGGCTAGCCAGACAGACTGCTAGTTCACTTGCAGCAACAGCTTTTTCTTTCCCCTTCCCCTTAGCCTCCTGAATGTTGTTGGCAATCAAAGCTGAAAACTGAAGGTGGGTTGCTACACCTTTGACTTGCAGGCCTGAATATCGATGAGCCACAAGAGACAGAGATGGAAAGAGCAACAAAAGGTGAGGGGAAGAGACAGAGGAGGTTGGAAACGGCTCGTTTCCCAGCACACACACCGACAGACAGGTAGTGTTAACACTGTACCTAGAGAGGCTGCCCTCAGTGGCCAGGCTCGGGGAGTCATCGAGGACATTAGGTTCACTGCAGGAGGGGCAGGGAGATTAAGAATTTAGGGACAGAGAATGCAAAAAAGCATGCGATTGTCTCTGTTTTCAAGGGAAAAAAAATATCAACGTAATAAAAAAAGGAAAAAAAGGACGGTAACATTAATTGGTCTCGCACGCTTAACAGAACATATATGACTCAGAGGAGCCGAAAGAACATCTGATAACAGGAGCAGTCTCTAGAGGGAATTTTCACTACATGGAGACTTCTACATTTCTGCTGAGCATCAGGGAGCTGAGAGGTTTGTTAGGATGTGTTTCCACAAGAAATAAGGGCAGTGAACTGTTTTCAAAGACATTTTCCTGCAGCATTTTAATTTATTTCTGTTCTATTTACTTCCAGCTTCATAGAACGCTTTTTTTCTTCCCCCTTCCCTGTGAGCCAGTTCTTCCTGAGGGTAGGCTAATCTATCTCCCATAAGCTATAGACCACTCTCCATCTGGTACGACTCTACGGACAAACATCTGGAAAACAAGGTCTCATGGTGCAATGAAACTGTGAGTAAACAGCTGGCATGGATCCTGGCAAACGAGTATACAATCATGTTGCTTTTCTATACTTCAGCCATTCGGGCAGGAGCAGCCTTCTCAGCCCATAGGAAAAACATGAAAGAAAGCAAGCAGTCTGCTGGGTTACCAGCAGGAAAACAATAATAATATTACTTAACATTAATTAGTTTACATTTGTGAGGCAGTCTGAAAGCCCAGAGACCGTCCATAACTAAAAAGGGCACGACGTTGTGGACTGTGATTATGCTCACT